CCCCCCCCCCCCCCCAACCAGCTGGTTTAATAAAAAATATCACATCTACTCAAAGAACCTTGCCTGCCTATGTCCTTAGACCAACACGGCTACAACCAAAAGCCCAGCTTGATTAATACATGCACTCCAATTTGGGGAAGCTGTTTTTTGTGGGGAAGTGCATTTTGTATGCAAGGAAAATATGGAAATTTTAGAGTGTCTCTTTTATATCATGTTTTGTATTGAAAGGGTTTTTGTGTGTCTCTAAATTCACCATTATTTATTAATTGTAATAAATACTGAATTTGTATCAACTCTCATTGTATGTGGTGGGGAGAGATCCTTTAACTTTTAAAGAGCGTCAGTTCTGCTGCAGTGTTACTGGTAAACTTCCTTTAGCATTGCCTATGGCAGCACACACTTGGAACTAAATCATAAAGGTGAAGTAAGGGTAGTACCGTGATGAGATGGGATGAGTGATTGAGCATCTACCTACTTCCAGTTCTGTCCAATGAACAATATAAATAGAGGATTTTTTTTTAATGTTTAACCATTTACAGTAATTAGGTGTTGCTTGTCACTTGAAATGTTTAATTACAAGTGAAATCTTTCATATTGCTTCTATAGTTCATGAGGCAGGAAACTAAAATGCATACATTCTAATAAAACATGAAGATAGTCATTTAATTCAAACAAGAAAACAGTTATTACTGCAGTTCAGTAAAGAAAAATATACTGTAAGTAGCAAAAATCCACATATTTACCAACAGAGAAATAAATTAACTATTCAAAGGCAGTGTTGGCAGTGTAAGGATGTAAACAACTAAGTAAACATACTTACATGTACTGTTGACTCAGTGAGGTGAATTTGCAGTCAACTAATCGAATTTAAAACAGTTGTTTTTGCCTTCTGTCTTCTGCAGAAATGGGTCATGTACATAAATGTAAATTTTAAATATGAGCTACTCCTAAAGTGTGGTTGGGCAGACAAGGTTCTTTGGGTAAATGTGATATCTTTTATTAGACAACTAATTAGTTGGAAAAATTGTACTTTGCAAGCTTTTGGGTACAAACACCCTTCTTCAGGCAAAGGGAGAGTAACTTTCCCTCAGAGCCATGATGGTTCAGGATATACAGATTTCCCTCGCCAACCACGGTTTTGAGTATCCACGCTTAATATTCTATATACCATTTTAGCTACCATGGTATACAGTTTTGAGTAACCATGGTTTTCCATGGCCACGTATCAGCCCACCACCTGCCATTTTTCCTATAAGCCTTTTGTCTTGCCAACCACGTGAACTTTCAGGAACCTAACCCCAGCAATTGGCAAGGAAAACCTATATGCAAGAGGCAAGGATTTTTGTGGGTGATATTTTTTTTATTGCACCAACTGCATACTATGCAATAAAAGATGTCATCCACAATAATCCTTGCCTCTTGCATCTATCATGAATAGTCGGAGGGAAAAAAAACATGACAGAGTGAAGACATTAAAGAAGAGGGGGGGGCAGGGGTTTGCAACAAAGCTTGCTAAATACTTTAACTTAGTTATCAGCTTTTAGTTAATTAGCCCCATCCAGGTAGAAAAATGCAGTCTTCAGGAGCTACCAGGATTGTCTTCGGAAGAGTATGAACTGTTAGGTAAAAAGTTGGAAGTTGAATTCCTGGTTCTGCCAGTCTCTTCTGTGAATAAAACTTCCCTTCTCTTTTTGTTGTCATTCTTAATTCATTGTCAGTGTTTCAAAATCCTCTCTACTGCTCTACAGTATTAAGCATGGAGTGAACAAGACGCAGCATGACTTAACCTTAAACAAAAAACCCCTCTGGAATACATTTTTACCGATGTATTACTAAGCTTGCAGTTACAGTTGTTAAGTAGTTTTATTGGTGCTTATCAATACAAAAGTATTGCTGAAATTTTAAATACTCGGGTTTGGGTACGTCAGATTTTAAAAGCCCCGTATTTTTTTTTTATTGTTTTGTATAGTAAAAATTAAAAATAATTCTTCCAAAACTTGGTGGAAAAATAAACATACACAACATAATCATTTTGTTGTATTTGCCATAAGCATTGTAGTCTCTTGATAAACTATGTGAATACACTTGTATGTAGACTTTTGATCAGATTTCTCTGAAGAGTTTGATTAGAATAAATACTTATCTCTGTGTATTTTCAGGTAACATTCAAGGAGCAACAATAGTAGATGCCTTGGATACGCTATATGTCATGGAAATGAAAGATGAATTCAAAGAAGCCAAAGAATGGGTGGAAAAAAACTTAGATTTCAATGTGGTAAGTACTGTATAGTTGTGCAGTTTTTTCTGGACTTACCCATGGACCAACAAAGGTCAAGTTTGTATTGGGATAGGCACTGTACAGACTAATATGCTCTGTCCTACAGAGCTTACAATATAAATAGACAAGACAGGAATACAGCACAAAGGAGGCAGTGAGTGGTAAATGCCATGCAAGTATCGCAGTTTGAGGATATGATTGCTGTTACGATTGTTAGGAGGGCAATAGCTACCTGGATGGTGTGATGAAAGAGGCGAAGTGGGCTGAGTTCTAGCCTGCAGTTCTGGTGGGACCACTTTGGCGGTGGGATCAGTGTAAGCACTTTGTTGTAAAAAGGCCCTGTAAATAATTTCAGATACTGGACACCTTTATGCCCTTTTCACCCCAGTGGCAGATGGCCTGACAGCAGGCCAGAGACTGCTCTCTCTTTCTTCGTTACTTATTTCATTTTGCTGTGTTGTTCTGAGGTTAATACTATAGTTTTGTAACCATTTTGTTGCAAGGGTGGCTTATTGTGTCTGAAGAGAAAGTGAGGCTCTGAGAGCTGAATGGAAAGGAAGGGATAGTCTAAGGGGGGAAGTGAGGAGAAAATGCTAGGGAAGGCACAGAGAGAGAAAGATAAGAGTCCTAGGAAGACCAGAGGGAACTGCCATGTCACAACAAAGACCTGTTTTTGAAGCAAGGTAAGCTGTGCTGTTTGGGTGTCAGTATTCTGACACCCTCTGCCCTTTGAAGATGATCCCCCCCACCCCCAAAAAGAATTGACCAAAAAGGAGGAGCTCTCTGGCAGGGCTACAGTTAAGGACAAAGAGCCTAGGTTTGAGCCAGAGACTTGCTACCTGAGAGTCTGTGCTAGAGCTGGCTTCAGGGGGATCTTGAAGGAGGGAGGCCAAATAAGGCTGCTTCTTGGGGAGTCTTAAAGCACAACTTCCCTACAAGTGGTGTTGATCTATGACAGACAAAAAAGGGAAGACAGGATTTGGCTTTTACTTACTTTCTCATGAACTGCAAACACGTCAGTTGTTTGGGGAAAATACAGGCTGCTGGTGTGGGTGTTAACTTTAGGTATGCACACTTTAAAAAATGTCCTGTTTCTGTACAGGAAACACAATCTACAAATGAAATTAACTTATCTTTCTCTAATAATAATTTAATGTACCACAAATCCCACTTTGGACTACGGTGCATTCTGATAACAGAAGTGGAGTTGAATTCCATGAAGTTGATATGAGCAAGGTTTTTGCATGACCCTTTTCATTGTGCTGTTGACTTCAGGAATGCAGCAGTTAAAGGCACTTTAAAATCTCTTTTTTTTTTTTTTAGAACTTCTTAAATGATATAATTTAACAATTTTTGAGTTTGTGTCACCTTTCTCTTCCTCCTTATGTTAAACCAATAATCTAGATCTTTCATTGCATGAACATGCAACAATTTGTATGAGCAACAGTTGTGATGCTGTATATGTGATACATGCAAGATTTTGTATTATAAAGTATTGACCTCTGTGCCTGAAGGGGAAGAAATGTGGTATGGTCATGCACTGATTCTGTCCCTTCTTAAAGATTTTTATGCGGAGACTTCTAGAATACTCAATTTCCTGTTATATCGGTAGCTAAACCTCAGTGTTGCATTTATTATAAAAAATATGTGCAACAACAAAATGTTATATAATTTATAAATACTATAAATAAACACTCAATTTAATTTGGAGTAGCATAATAAAGCTTCATATTTACATAGATATCACTGGGATAACTGGCCCATATACGTGCTTTTATATATAGTATGTGCTATAAACTATTTAGCTGGACCGTACTACCCTTTTCCAACAAGTTTTTCACGGTTTAACTTAGTAATATGATGCATAATGATTAACATTTCACTTACCATTAACTGATTAATGAACATTCTGGCAAAAGTAAGTAAATATCATTCAGTCTTGCATGTTTTCTGTCTTCTGGACAGAAAAAAAGCCCTGTAAAAATGACTTCAGTGCTGCGTGTGCATCTGAAAACAACAAAGTAGGAGGTTGTACAGCTGTTCTTGGGATCATTCCATATAACTAATGCTCTACTTTCCCTATTTCTGTGCCTTAGTCACCATTTAAAACAGAATGTAGTGTTCCTTTGGACTTCAGCTCCCTGACTAGATCCATTAAGATAAAGGTTACGTAATTAAATATTCCTAGATGTTGTAAGAGAAGCTTTTTGAGCGCACGAAATCCCATTTTGGGGGAGAACTTCTTGATACAATAGCATCAGAGCTGTAGATAAAGAGTGTGCTGCTAATAACTCCAAGGTTGCAGATTCGATGTTGGGTTGCACTAGAAGATGATATCTTGAGGTTGCTTCCATCCTTACTTATCTATGATGATAAACTATTACTTAGCAGTGAAGCCTGCATGTGTTCCTTGTGGAACCCTTTGCTGTTTAATGGAACACTTTAAGGGGTGGTACTTTACATAGTTAATTGCATTAATGTTATACATAGTACCCCAGTATCCTTTATATTTTCATTTAATCAAGAAGGACATAGGTGCCAAGTAATAATTCAGTTTCTTCTGTTCACTTCCTCACCACACATGCAAGGAAACTACCAGGCAATTTATATCCTGATCATTTTTAACCTGTAACCTTTTACAACGCAGCTGAGTTGCATACAAGTTGAGTCGGTTTCAAACAATGTTGTCTTGACTAGTTTTTCAAATTAAACTCTGTTTTAGTTAAAAATGCTGGTATTTTATCCAGATTTGGTATTTGTAGTTTCTCTCCTCAGGTTCAAAACCTGGAGTAATCCAAAGCAGAGCAGGCTTCATCAGTTTTTCATTTTCTCATAAATTCCTGAAATATCTAATATTATATACCTTTTGCATAACTCTGTATACACTGAATTTTTTTATGTTCTTGCAACCTGCTAAATGTACAAAAGGGATTTTATTTTTTTTTTACTTAATTGAATTGCAGAGGCTGTGTCTAAAAATTGCCCATGACACAAGCTCTAGTTCACATGAAACTCATCTCTTCTTGACACGTTCATTTCATTTCTTCACAGTGTACAATCGGTAACTTTTTAAGAAAATGTAGTTGAAGTATTATTCTAATATTAGAAAAGCCTTAGTCTGTCTGTCCATAATGCTTTATTCGCACTCTGATTGGTTGTCTGAACCCGGACCCAGGGGGGAGATAAATTAGAACTGGCCCTGATGCAGTTGAGGGGGGGAGCAGGGCCAAACCCCAAGTGGCAGGGGCAGGGTGGGGGGAGGGACCTGGACAAGGGGGGAGTGGATACGGGGCTCCATCCCTGCCCCCCTCTTCCCCCTGGTCATTCTTGACGGGCAATTTGCTAGTATTATTATATAAGATAGTAAATGTGTCAAGCTAAGAAACATGGTTCTTAATACCTAGAGCATGGATTTCTGGGGCAAAACCAATTTTTCTAACATTTCTAGTCCCTACCATCTCTAAAAAATTATAAAGCAAGGGGTTTTCAACATTTGTTCCATCTCAAATTATTTGGTTAGAATTAAATCATTCTCCTTAGCTGGATATTTATATTAACAGATGTGTACTTGCTAAAGGAGCCATCCAAATATGAGTTTATGGAACAAACCAGAGTGAATTTTTTTTATCAGATTAGTATAGCTATAAATTCTGAACTGAACAACTAAAACTTAATAAACTAGTCTTCAAATAGATTACTTTTCATTGCTTACAATTCTCAAGGTTCTGAGGAGGCAAACCGTTTTTTTTTTTGTTTGTTTGTTTCTTTTTAGACATTGTCATTCCCCTATGACAAGTACTGATTTTTTTTGGTATCCTTTTATAGCTTGAGTGCCAGCATCATTGCTTGGAAACCCTTACATTTTTTTAATATTATCTACTGAAAATCACACTTGTTTGCATACTTGTCAGACAAGTGTGAACCCTTTATTGTAGGTGGGGTCTGGTAAATATGAGACGGTCCTCTTCATTTGTTTGTAATTGTATCAAATCATTTAGCTTGACATTTTTCATGGTTTACAACTTTCTTGGGCAAAATTTTTATTTATTTATTTTGGAAGATTCAGCCCAAAACAAAGGAGCCATTGCTAAGAACAAAACCAGAGGGAAAATATTTTCTTTCTTTGTTTAATTCTGACCTCCTTTTGAGAATTGCATCCCTATAGTTCAGAGATTAAACTCTACCTGTGGAAGGATTATGATCATTATATCACTGATGTTGTGTTTTGCTTTCCCCAAGAGAATCCACCCAAATTAGGCCCAAAGTTATAAGTCTTTTGTAAAGTCCCAATTTAGTCATGCTCTGGGATTTAAAAAAAATTCACGGACAAAATCTGGGTAGTCAGTTCATCTTTACTGTGTACACAAATTCCTTCTCCATGCCTTGCATGGGCATTCCAGTCAGTGCATCACCCCCACCTAGCAACTGAGCATGACCCTGCCCTGGGTTGTAGCTCCAACCTGCTTCAGGCCAAGGACAATGACCTGAGAGTCAGAAGCCTGTTTTTTCCTGTCATGTGATATTTTTAATATCTTTTGACAAGCAAAGCTGGTTTCAAGCTAGATCAGTATTTCCCACGTGTTGCCTGTAATTTTGCAGTGCTCTGTATGTTCCTTTGTTTTGCTTTTATTCAGCATGCAGTGCCTCACAGGAAACGCATAGGCTTTGTGGAGTCTCTACCCTTCCTTGAGGCTTTACTCTACAATGCAAGACAATCTGATTCATAGCATCCAGGCAGTTTGAAGAGGAAGTCACCAGACTCTAACACAAAGGTGCAGAAGATGAAAGAATAGTTTAGGAAACAGAGTCTAATAAGACATGGGAAGGATTAGGGATTAGGAGGTGGGAGTTGGTAAAGGTGAGGAAAATGAGGCTAGAAATAGTGTTGCAAAATGAAGTGAATCAGCTGTGTTCTGCAACAGCTGATCCACTTCATTGGGTGAAACACATCATCTGTTATCCCTCCCACTGATCTTGCAGGACAATGGGCAATGTGT